TTAAGGGTACGGCAGCGACGGGGCAAGGCCGGAGGGGTGGACATTCTACAAAGTTTCTGGGATGACGAGATCGACTGAAGGACAGAGGGATGCTGCATGAAGGAACAAAAGGGGATGCAAACTGAGGAGGCCTTGGTGGGCGACTGGATGAGGCCTCCAGTGAAGAAAACGACCCCTAGTTGAGATGAGGAGATGTTGAGATGAGCCAAAGCTGGGAATGAAGCGAAGGGAAAAGTGATCGATGGCGAAGGTATCAAGGGCTCGGGCGCGTAGTGGCCGAGACTGAGGAGGAATTTGCGCTTCGGCGCGCCAAAAGGGGGTTCTCTGGACGGTTGGGCTTGACATGATTCAGCACATGGGTGAAGTCTGAGGTGGTCCGGCCATTTAGGTGGGACGAGGTAGATGTACTTAATGGTAGCTAACCTGATCCAGCCCGGCTCTACCCGTGCTTAAGCTCCAGTAGGAGTGCAACGGGAATCACTTTACCTAGCACGTAAATGAACAAGAACATGCTATATAACTACAGCTCAACATGAAGTCCAAGGATAAAAAGTGTTAGATTATAACAGAATCATCTGAAACGAGAGGTGAACATCCAGATCATGATGAAAAGGTTAGCGGAGAACGAAATGTAGTTAACAAATTGATGTCGTTAGTAGCTGAGAGTGAAACATGTAAAGCTAATTGTGTAATTGTTACTCTGATTCTTAAACTTCCAAAAAAAGCTTCAATAGAAACCATTAAGGGAGCGAGGAGGCTAACACATCCATTGAATGCTCCTCGTTACGTGTTTAGATCTAGATATCTCGAAAATACCCCGTCAGATGAGTATAACAGCTTTGTCTTGTCTTACAATGTATCATTACTTTTCTGAAAACCCAGACTTTTCAAGGATAAATTTGTCAATGCCGGTTGGTAATATACACGTGCACACGTACGCAATGGGTCTCTCGATGATGTGATGATTCTTCTTAGATACAGACGTGTCAGCCTTAATGGCGACACGCCAAGCTGCACCAATCCAGGTGACTAACTATCAACATGTTGTGATGTCTCTCCTGGCCCATGAACATCCCAAAATAGTGTTGCAACAGTCAAGATATTTAGTCATGTCCTATCCTTTCAGTGATATATCATTGACGATGCTCCTCGTGGTTTATAAAATAGTCTAGTAGAGATCTACATGATAAGATAAGGATCATATAATATTCAAATAGATGAAAGGTCCCTTAAGGAAAAATAATTAGGCTAATTGTGCGATAGAGGTTATACGAGAAACTTGCCAATTCTTTCATTTGTTGTCCTTTCTAAGTCTATGAGGGAACTACTCTCAACACCTGTCAGTGATGTCCCCTACGAACCTCCAGCTCTCACTGTAGAGTCTGCAGAGCCGAGATTGAGTGACAAAGTCCTCACTTCGATGAGGATTCCCAATCGCTTTCGCGGTCTGTATCGTCTTCATCCCTCAACACAGCCCCTATCACCATTATCATGAAGCTAACCACGATCAGATCAGATGGTAGGGTCGGAGCCATACTCATCACCAACCCTTGATTATGGAGGAAAAGCCATCCAAGTAGTTTCCGGAGCGTAGCCAGCACTCGACACGGAGATGGTAGATTGGATCAAGATGGCGTCGGCTGTTACAGAGGGAGATATGGATGAATATGTCTAAACAGCCGGCAAAGACGAATTCTTCACCTTCCAGTGGTGCCGTTGTAATTTCTCAGTATGCTCCGCATATCTGGGATAGCCAAGAAGAATCGCATCCGAATCGAAGTCGAAGTTAAACACATCCACATCTCCATTTGACGACTACTCAAGCATGTAGCACTCACAATTATCTTCTGAGTCCCAAACCTCTTTCCAACCACATATCATCTCGCCTCAACGACTGATAAAGGCGTTACTCCAATTGCAAACAGGAGCTTGCCTCATTAGTTATCGACCATTACGCACTACAAATTTACGACGCTACGTATACCCGCAAATGGCTATCGTTTCGTTTGCTGAAGATGGGAGATAATGAAGGGTTAAGGGCTCCTCTAAATGTATGATCGAATGAGGACTTGTGAGGGGCGGTACTGTTTGAGGGGAGCTGTATGGGAGGCATAGGAGGGGATATTCTACTGGTAAAGGTATCCTTGGCCTGTTGGCAGAGAGGTCCTGCATGTCCTGCATACAGTGCCTCTAGGTTGGAAAACGTAAAACTTCAAACCGGGCTGTTTAACGGATTAGCCCTGTGGGCGCAGCTGGGCTAGCTCGCAATAGGTTAGACAGTCTCTCCGCATTACCCCGCTCGCCATGAAGTATGGTCCAAACGTCATATTCAAACAATCGGGTAGAGAAACACATCTTCAACAACACTTTTGACTGCCTAATCAACAAAGCCCTTGACTCGGAGGACGAAGGCTGAACACCTGTCAGTGGTGTCCTCTACGATCATGGGGGTGAAATATTCTCCCAGAGCCGAGATTCAGACACGAAAAAGGGTGGGATGAATTTGTTTCTGATGGATTTTCGACTTAAAGGAGTTGCACTTGATATTTTGGTCGCAAAATCAGTTGGCAGAGATTTCAAAGCCGGAACAACGTCGAACAAAAACTCATCACCACTAGCATACGATTCACGAATGGATTTAGGTCTGTCTGGGGGTCTTATTCAAACATCCGACATCTCTCAAACTCCTTATATATTTGCCATAAAGCATCTCTCAGTCGATCCTATACCTGCGACCCACTTCCATACTTGTCCTATCAGCTAACCAAACACGCCCTAATGTGGAAAATCATGATGGAAACGGGACGTGTACAAAGGAGGAAGAAGAGGGAAGACACACCGAGGGGATTACACAAATCCCCAATGACGAAAACAACCCAACGGTACGATATGAAGGTGCAAGGCTAGAGCAACGATGAGATCTTGGACGGCATTTATATTTCGGAGTCAATGAGGATGTCAAGGGCTCGGGCGCGTGGTGGCCGAGGCTGAGGAAGAATTTGCGCTACGGCGTGTATACAGCGGGTTTCTGGACGGTTAGGCTTGGTATGATTTGTTGGAAATTCAGACTCTATGTGTCTGAAGTTTCCCATGATTGGAACAACTAAGATTCTCACACATTACTCACGGCCTGAATCACGAACTAGATGATTGATGTCTCCCTTACTGAGTGTGTTTGATGCTTGAGACTCGACTAGTGCATGGTATGGTCTGATACACGTGTAGGCTTTCATCCACCGACCCTGATCCCATACTCATGTTGTAAACTGTCGTGCGTTCCACTGTCATTGTTAGAGTATGGAACGAGTGATGGATGGTATCTAGTCTGGATTTGGTCTATCAAGATTACATGTATATAAGCTGTCTAGGAATCACCAAGACAGATAATCTAATCAATTCAATTCATTCAATCTATCTTTTATTTCTCCACAGTATATCACATATTCTCCCGATTCATATCATTATTATTCTATTCATAAAATCGCGCCCATGTTCTTTGAGCCGCCTTACTCTTCGAACCCATACCGATTTTCCAACATGGTTCAACACACAGGTGAAGTCTGAGGTGGTCCGGTCATTTAAGTGGGAGGAGCTATAACTGTACTTCACGGTAGTTAACCTGATCCGGCCCGGCCCCACTCGTGCTGAAGCTCCAGTCGAAGTGCAACGCTAGTCACGTAACCTAGCACGCTAATGAACAAAACAAAATAAAACAACAAGATACCATTCACATAGCGGGTCTCGCGGTTGGAATGAGCTAGGCCTGTAAGCAGTGGTACCTGCCGGCTCCACCAGTTTTGTACCTATAGTAGACCTAGAGCTTTAGCTTAGGACTTTAACATAACAAAAAAAATACCATCCACATCTCATAAAATTTATTGCCATAACCACCCAAGTGCATTCTAAACCCCCTGAGTAGTCACAATCATTCAGTTGAGGGAACCAAGTATATACGACCATATTCACCACCACCCTTCAATAACTAGTACTATAAAGTAAGCAAATTTGCACACGGCTGTAGACCTAGTCTTTGCGTACAGCAATTATAGTTTGTGGGCGTCACACTTCGTTGGCGTTCCCAGGTCACGGAAGAGTGTCGGTGAGAAGTTCGGCAGTAGTTCTCTGGCAATTCCAACACATGCGGGGTAAGTTCCAGCGTCACCAGAGAGGATGCATCGTGTTCACTGCAGCGAATCGGACTTTGAGGATTTCGTTTATTCGTTCAAGTCATACAAGCACTAGGCGCCTCCCAGTCATTCGTAGAGGAGCAGAAGTAGGGATTGTGCTGTGTAATCTGTAGTAATGGAAGAAGTTGTCTTGAACCCATTCATCATGTGACTTCTTGGGCTGAAAATTCACTGGAAGTCTCATGAATGGAATGGCGAACAATATCTATGGATCATTTCGCGTTTTCAAACTGTTGCAATTCACTCCGCAATAACACGACATGTCTCAACACTCGGCACTTATGGCACAACTTGCTGAGATTCCAATGCGTAGTATTCTCGAGCGCTTCCAACTTGAGTATGGTCAAAGAGCTGATCTTTCAGGAGGTAATTTAGAACTACAAACTAAAGAAGATCTAGCTAATTAAATTAGCTCTCTGTGGGTTTTTTCTGAGCCTAGGGCGATACACTGGAGGGCGAAGTCGTAAAGATGAAGACTTACCATTCATACCGTTTAACTATATTGCAAATCATATTATTGATGAAAGAACTGATCTATCTATTTTTAATCATTTGATTTATTCTATTGAACAGAACTTTGAGGATACTTTCATCTTACAAACTTGTATTAATCTTGTTGGAACTCTATCATGCAAATTTCTACCACCAATTCCTTTCCAACATGTGCCATCCTCACCGAACAATAGCTCGATTCCAGCTGCACAGTACTACCAATATCTTCCCAAAAATTCTACAAAGGTGATTGAGAATGAACTTGGCAAAAAATCATACATAAAAATTTCAAAATTCTGGAAAATATTTTTTGAAGAAAAAATGTGGTCTGACCAAACAATGCGAATTTGGGAGAGCTATAGAAATTACAAAAATGACATTGACCCTGGAAATTTTCGTTTTGACTTGGCTGAGCAAGGGGTATGGGACTGGCTCGCTTCGTTTAACAATCTATTTTTGAGTCAGCTCTCAGAATCCCCATCATTGCCATCGGAGCATTTTCCTACCCTTGTTCGAAAGGAGACGGATCTTCCACTACGTGGACAGATCTGTCTTTCAACAACAGTCGGAACATGGAAAGTAGGTGAAGCTCAGGGACATCTTGATTTCCACATCAAAGCCATCGGCCAGCCATGTCCGTCTGGTGATTGGAGCCAAGTGAGGGTTGTGGCTGGGCTTTGCAAAAAACCTTCAAGAAATAGACGGAAGGTAAGGTTTATACAACTAGCGACTTACGTTTGGCAAATATTTTACACGCAGCCACTTCGTCGTTTTGTGCACGGATTCTGCTTGTTCGATAAGGAAATTGAATTCTGGATGATAGATCGAACAGGAGCATATAGCTCGGGCTATATTAGCATTGAAAATGATGAGCAAGCTTTAGTTCGTGCAATCACCTCTTATTTACTTATGAGTGACAAAGAACTGGGTCTCGATACAACAATTCGCCAAGTCGATGGACGTTCCATGATTAAAATTGTTAATGATGAGTCTGGGGAGACCAAAGAGATTGAGATTGACCCTGAGCCCCTGATCAAGTCACGGAGACTGATTTCACGTGGTACCACCTGCTACCGATCGATTGACGATAAATCTTTGGTCAAATACTCGTGGCACAAGCTTTTTGGAGAATCAGAAGCCAACTTGCTAAAAGAAGCCCTCTCGCTCAAAGGTGTGGTCAATCTAGTGGCATCAGATATCATTCATAGCTATGCTGATCATTGGGAAAATTTAAAAGCTTTGGGTCCTAAGAGATGGCATCTAAAGCCAAAAAAGCAATTGTTAAATGACTCTGACTCTTCCGATGAATTTCATGACACGGAAGAAAGGGAAAAATATAAATTCGCTGAAGAAGGAGAATCGACTGTATTTTCTGTGGACAACGAATATGTCCTACGTAGATTCGTTCTTTCACCTTATGGACGTCCCCTTGAATCTTGTACATCAGTATTGCAATTCCTTATTGTCTTACGAGATGCAATACTGGGGCACCAGAATCTATTCATTGAGAAAAAAATTATCCATAACGATATCTCTGATACTAACATCATCATAGTAACACCAACAGAAGATGATAGATCAAGAGGGATGTTGATAGACCTCGATCATTCACTTGCGCTCTATGACAGTATGTTATCATACATGATACATCATCCGGTGGGTACCATAAAATTCATGGCGATTAGACCTTTAGGTGTCATCAGAAGACCTAGATCTAGATGGGAAGAGCCCTTTGAACGTAGTTTTCATCATGACCTGGAATCATTTTTCTATGTGTTCCTAACAGGATGTGTAGAATATGGACGTGACCCGGGTCTTCCAAGGCATAATTTGGATTCTTGGTGCACGAATAAGATAGAGGAAATCATTGAAAACAAGTATAATGATGTCTATAAGAATTTTAAGGACTTTATCAACATCAAATTTTCAAGTAGTTTCGTTGATACTATAGAATTGGCCATGGAGCTGCGAAGGCAATTGTCTAATGGATACAGAACAACACAAGAGTACGTAGATAACTCTGATTTTATTTACAATGAGATGATTCAAGCGTTTAATAAAACTATCGGACAGATTGAAGGTGAGATTAATTCAAAACTATATCGAAGCGCTGTAACCTGCAGTTTGAGAGTTACTGACAATCATCATTTTTAATAGCTGGGAAAATCCCGAACAGAACGTGGACTAATGAGACGACTGTTGGCGCATGATTGAATGTTTCGAGGTTTCGATGGGCTAGAAGCGACTATAGCATCCTCCGGAAAAGTTGGTTTTCTTAAGTATTCTTTCGTGGACTAATTCCAGCAATTAAAATTACTTCAATTTTTTAAAAAGTAGTGCAGCCATCCACTTGGCATCAAAATCTAGTTTTTACCAATCACTATTCCGACTTACACTATGCAAAAATACGCTTGCCATTAATGACGGTTGCAGGGACCAGCAGGGGAATACTAGCAATTTCAATGCATCACGCAAAACTACAATGACAAAAAGTCTTTGAGGTTGTTGTGCAAAACATCACACAAAGATAAGGGGCTTGAAAACTCGTGGTCCTCAAAGCCAAATGAAAGGCTAACATGTCTGCATGAAGCAGCAATAATGATCTATACACCAGAGAAAAAGTGGAAGGAGCCATAGAGGTCTTTAATTTCTACAAGTTATGCTGCGAGGAGATGCATGCAACGAAATTTCGTATCGGGTGACAGAGATCGGGCATGGAAGTGATTATATACAAGATTCAATGCGTGCCTTTCGTAGAACGTATTGATCCAATTCATATTGTGAAACGTGGAAGTGTCGTGCTACAGGCGTCACTTCACAAGCTACATCTCGAGCTGACCGAGTCCAGCAGGCGCGACAATTCTTATTAAGGTAATAGAATTTGCGAGGAAATAATTTTGGTGGGAAGATTGAATAATTCTTACCTTTTTAGTATAACTTGCTCGATGTGCTTTCTTTTCTAATCATTCAATGTGTCTTCAGCTGTTAAGTCGTGACAGATGATCAGTAAAATGTGGGCTTGTTGGATGCCTTTTTTGACTCCAGAGACACTTAAACTCTAGGTTTCATTCCTAAATACCGCCACGAAGTATATAAGCTTACGTGGAATAGATAAGCCAATGCGCACGAGTTCTCAGCGCTTGTCATTAGCATCTACTGCGAGCCTCCAACCCTCACCGTAGAGTCTACAGAGGCGAGATTGAGTATTACCTTTTCCTCACTTAGATGAATATTGCCAAATACTTCTTTGGATTTTATCGTCTTGATATTTCAACATAACTTCATACTACCATTATGATGAAGCTAACCACGATCATATGAGATGAAAGGGACAAGCCCTTCTAATTATTACGGGTTTACCCGCTACTGGTTGTCTAGGCTGACCTGCGAGCCCAGCCTTTCGCACAGAATAAGTTCTCACAATAGTGCTTATGTTAAGTTATGATCAGGGTACACTTCGTGCCCGCACGATCCAGTTGTAGTTTGTGTGTGCTTATAGTTCTACTTAAGTCTATGATTATCTAGCACATTGGGCTTCTCCCTGACCCGGGCCAAACCTTGTACAGCGCACCTTATCTCTCATGGTTTTTGAAAGATCATTGACATATTGCCTGTGATGAATAGCCATTCATCTCAGTATTTACCAGTGGAATTCGGCCACATTTTCCACGGAACCTTCTACCCGAAATAAAATAAAAAGGTATCAATGGACACATACATGCGCGGGATAAAGTCCCAAAAAACCTGCAGCCGCAGCCAGGCGAGGCCTAGACACCGGACCACATAAGTTGCGCAGGGGGACTATTGGTAACACCTGTTAGTGGTGTCCCCTACGAATGTGACGCCCCGACATTTTAGTGGCCACGTGGTTGTCGGTTCAATAGTTGGTAAGCCGACACAGGCTCAATCCAGGAATTCCAACGACTAGTTTCACACACACGAGTCTTGTGTGTGACAAATCACGATACGAAAGGTTTGTCATGGATATTGGTTTTCATGCGAAACCCTTGGGTTGTAGGCAATGAGGGACAGGAGGTTTCGTGTTGGCAACTCTATTTCAACAGTTGAACTCTTATGTAAATATATACAGATTAATATCCTCCTAGATACTTTTCTCTTTAGTTTAGAATCTTATGATTTGAGTCCACGCCAGCTTTTGACCACTCGCCAATCGTCTTTTGTCCCTCGAGTTTCCACAACGAACCTCCAGCTCTCACTGTAGAGTATATAGAGCCGAGATTGAGTAACAAGGTCCTCACTCCGCTGAGGATTCCAAATCGCTTTCGCGGTCTGTATCGTTTTCATCTCTCAACAATCGCATACATCACTATTATCATGAAGCTAACTACGATCAGATCAGATGGTAGGGTCGAAGCCCTACTCATCACTAACCCTTGATCATGGAGAAAATTCCATACGATGTGTTTCTGGAGCGTACCCAGCGCCCGATACGGCGATGGTGGATTGGGTCAAGTCGGCCTTGAATGTTACAGAGAAGGAAGATGTAGATGAATATGCGCACCTCATATGATCCCAGTGTCTAGGCCTCGCCTGGCTAGGGCCGCAGGTTTTTTACTCTCACGTTCTCAAGGAGCTGTATTATCGGTATTCCGCGAGGTACGACTTTGGTATATGTTGATGTCAGGAACTGAGGATAGAGGTTACTGGGATACAATGGTCGCCATGGGTTATGAATTGAGTAATCGAGTAGTAGAAGGTGGACTCTATGAGACCTAGGTTGCTCTGGTTACTATGGTGTATATATGGATTGGACAGAGCCGCAGTGGATGGCCACGACTTGTCTTCCGTCTTCCACTGGCCTTGTCTCCGATCCTAGATTCCCTCGTCCTTAGTTCTAGTTACAATTACAAATTTATACCTTTGACTCTTGCCAACCTCCTCAGATATTGCCCAAGTCGCTCAGTAACACTCCCGACGCTACCTTTGGCACCCTCGAGCTTGACAGTAGAGAATAGTGATTATTTCTGTGAGGAAGAGGTATAAAGTCAGCGTAAGGTATAGGGTTCACTGAATAGGCAAAGGTAAAGTGAGTAGTAGGTAAGGTTGGTACAAAAGCAGCGGCCTTCTTTTAGAGAGCGGATAACTCTGTGAATAATAGGTAACAGTGTAAACAGAAGACTTTACGTAAAGAAGAATACTTCTTCAGGCTGGGTATATATGTACATCAGATAACAGGATAGCCATGAGCTGTTTCAAACATTTTTACTACGCAAATTCTATGATACGAGCCCATATGCCTGAGCCCGCCCTACTTGTTTAGGAACTCGATCTAACAGCGAGTTGTGTTTTGATGTGCGAGTTCCCATAAGGCAACATCCTAGAGTTCACCACGTTTATCCATAAACCACGCGCACACAGTTTTCAACCACCACTTTTTTTTTCTTTAATTTTTTGGGTGAAAGGATCCGTTGAAAAGGTGGCTGACTTCCATAGTCGAACACTGAGTTTAATGGCTACCCACCACGGGTAATTTATCTATGGTCTTTCAAGGAACATGAGAGGCAAAGAGCACTGTCTAAGATGTGGCCTGAATCAGAGAGGAGCCGAACGTGCTAGATAGTCGTAGCCTCATATTATACAGCAAACGTACACTTCTCTCTCCCCTTTCCAGCCGACGAAACGAATTTCATTTGCGGGTGTGATACTGCAAGGAGATGTCTTAAAAATCACTAGGTGCGGGGCTCTCCTATGAGAAAGAGGCCGGCCAGCCGAGAGCAGTGACCTGTGTATACATAAGGGCGTCTCTCAACCTTCCTAGACTGCTCCTTACTCATCCCATGATTCATGCCGTAAGATAAACTGAAGGTCGTGAAGGGATGTCATAAAATTCTTGATTGGGAGTGACTGCCGTGAAGGAGCTGAGTCTGGCATCCAAGGGTCGTTCCGGACGTGGGGTCGCCGAGTAACTAATGTATTTCAAATGGCCTCCTGACTAGTAGATTCGGAGGTATAGATTAGATTGAAGAATATTATTGACGGGTCGAAATCGGCTTTTCTTGAGGGCGGAAGGGCCTTTAAATTTGCATTCGTGGGCTTCTTATTCACTCGCCAGTAGGTAGCGCATGTTGTAATATAACGAGAGCTTCTCTGACTAATATTGTAGCGTTTGGTTGCGCATTATCTTTCCTTATTCCAGCATCACTATCGTCGTCTTGGTCTTCTTATGTGTTATCGGAAGCGTGTCTTTGACGGAGGGGGAAATAACTCAGCCCAAAGTTGAAAAGATATTTCTCAGTCTCGGTTCCGTAGACTCTCAGGTGAGAGCTAGAGGTACGTAAGAGATATCACTGGTAGGTGTTCAGTTTCGACCCAGGACATCACCCTATTAGCAAGACGTCAAGAAGAAAGCAGGAAGAAATGGATAGACAAACGCGTTCTTCGAGAAAGCCATAGATTTATTACAGCTGGAGCTTCGTTACAAACACTTCGTTTCGAAATGCTATCCAAATACTTCTATTCGTGTTTACAAAATACTTTTATAATCCCATTCCTCTACAAACCGGCCGATTTTGCGCCAGAGGCAGCTCATCCCCCAGATTGTATGTCACGTGATACTGCTCCTTTTCCATCCTTAAAACATTCAGAAGATTCTAGTATCTTGGACTATCCGCTTGCCAAGTCATTATCCGGCTCGGACTTCCTCTATCGGGATCCATAATTTTCATCCTGATTCCAGTGAGTCTGTCCATATCCTAGTATGCCCTGGTTTGTCGTTCTGATTTCTACAATGACCCAGAATATTCTACTTACAATTCGGTATCCCGGTAGCGGCGATGTCATAGCTCACTGTAAGTTGCACATCAATCCAGATATTTCAGGCACGAAAACACCGTCATTCATGGTCGATTAGTTGGTTTTAGATGTTGAAACTGCCAGCGCAGGGCTAGAATCATGGATGGAACCTATTGATCATGAATTTTGCTAGTTATCTAGTTAGATGTTTCGTAGAAGTTGTTTATGGTGGTAGTTCACTTTTCATCCTCGCTGCCAATTAGAAGCACCACACTTGACCCGCAGTGGAGAGCTCTTGCATTACAGGGTCCAGGGCTACGGGTCACGGGTCACGAGTCTATCCGGGAATGTGGAGTAATTCAATCCGTGGTCATCCGAAGTTCCTAGAATATTCACAGAGTTTCTAGACACTTGACGACGTTGTCAGGTGAGAGTTCTGCAAATGGAGACTTCCCGT